TGTAATAGGAACTGAATAAGAAGATGAGGTGTTACCACACATTGATGAAGACCTTGCATGTGCTAGATAAATAGACATAGCCCCTATTCTAAAAAGGTGACAAATTACTTTCACAGAATACTTAGTGGATTCGGCTATTTCAGCCACACCCATTGCTGACAGGTGTATAAAATCAACCACACAGCCATGCAAACTCCATAGACAAACATTGGCAGTAGAACGGCCTTACTGAAGAGCTCAGTGACTTTCAACGTAGCACCGTCATAGGATGCCACCCTTCCAACAAGTCAGTTCGTCAAATTTCTGACATGCTACAGCTGACCCAGTCAACTATAACTGCTGTTATTGTGAAGTGAAACGTCTAGGAGCAACAACGGCTCAGCCACGAAGTGGTAAGCCACACAAGCTCACAGAATGGGACCGCTGAGTGCTGAAGCGCGTAAAAATCGTCTGTCCTCGGTTGTAACACTCACTACCGAGTTCCAAACTGCCTCTGGAAACAACGTCAGCACAAGAACGGTTTGTCAGGAGCTTCATGAAATGGGTTTCCACGGTCGAGCAGCCACACACAAGCCTAAGATCACCATGCACAATGCCAAGTGTCGGCTGGAGTGGTGTAAAGATCGCCGCCATTGGACAGGATTTGGCGGATGCCAGGAAAACGCTACCTGCCCCAATGCATAGTGCCAGCTGTAAAGTTTGGTGGAGGAGGAATAATGGTCTGGGGCTGTTTTTCATGGTTCGGGCTAGGCCCCTTAGTTCCAGTGAAGGGAAATCTTAACGCTACAGCATACAATGACATTCTAGACGATACTGTGCTTCCAACTTTGTGGCAAAAGTTTGGAGAAGGCCTTTTCCTGTTTCAGCATGGCAATTCCCCTGTGCACAAAGCGAGGTCAATACAGAAATGGTTTGTCGAGATCGGTGTGGAAGAACTTGACTGGCCTGCACAGAGCCCTGACCTCAACCCCATCGAACACCTTTGGGATGAATTGGAACGCCGACTGCGAGTCAGGCCTAATCGCCCAACATCAGTGTCTGACCTCACTAATGCTCTTGTGGCTGAATGGAAGCAAGTCCCCGCAGCAATGTTCTATCATCTAGTGGAAAGCCTTCCCAAAAGAGTGGAGGCTGCTATAGCAGCAAAGGGGGGACCAACTCCATATTAATGCCCATGATTTTGGAATGAGATGTTCGACGAGCAGGTGTCCACATACCTTTGGTCATGTAGTGTATGTGTGATTGGATTGGTTCCAAACCTCGAAGGCTGAAAGATAAGAGATCATCAGGGACTAATTACGGCCTGGGCTGAATATTCATCACTGGCCGTGTAGGCACGTACATCAGAGAGGAAGAGAAGAGCTGACTGTATCGTCACTGAGCCGTATATGACAGACAGGCATACTTACAGACAAAACATTGGAACATACTGTAATTACCCATCTACATTGCTTAAAACAATTAGGATTGTCAAGGCAAAGGGAGAAAAGCTTAACTATTTCATTGATTAGTATGTCCCTATTAATGTTTTTCTGCTAATTTGACCTCTGAACTTTGTCAGCTCATTATTTATACATCTGTGCGTTGGGGAGAGGGCCAGGGAACGTGGTGAATTACCACTTGTAGCAGGTGTTCTCTTTGACAGGAATAAGGAGCCCTGCTTGGTACACCATGCATGTCATAACCCACCTCGGATAGACCCAAACACTCTCTCCCTACGGGCAGACCCAGAGATTCTCTAAGTGCAAGCCTAGCGCTGCTCGCTGCTTAGCTGCCTTCTCGGTGGGAATGTGGGACCATTCTAAACACTGATAATGGCAGTGGAGCATGGCAATTGGTTTCGATAGCATTGGACATGCCCCTTGTTCAGGGCTTATGACTTATTTTGAAATGTGTCATTTTGAAAATGATGACAATCACATCTGCGTGAATAATAATAATCACACAGTAAATTACATAGGATATTTTTTATCATTTCAAAGTGACACTTGGTATAAATACATCAACAAAGTCAAGCCATCTCTCACAGCATCTCTGAAGTGATGCTTTGGAGTTTGCTCAGATTCAGAGTAACTTGATCACTACCTCAGATCCCACTGGCCCCTGACTAACATCCTAGCAAAGTGAGAAAATGTAGGGGAAAGTGGGGTAAGAAAGTTGGGTAAGTTGAGCCATTTTTTTGATTCAGCATCACTCCATCAAGGGAAATATATAGTGTTCTTTCTAACAAAGATCAAAATATTTCAGGATCAGAATTCATGTAAACATTACAGTTTTGAAAAGATAGCTTGTCCAAAAAAAGGGCTCTCTTGGCACAACTTACCCCAGGTATGGGGTAAGTTGAGCCACGGGACATGTTAAGTTAAGCCACCTACAAATTTCTGTACTGAATGAAATATTACCACTACCTTTTAAAAACAATATCTATTTCTATTTCCCAAACACAATTCAACACAATCACAATCGCCTTTTTGTCTATTAATAATTTTAAGCATCTTTTAACACAGGCTTAACACCTAACAAACACTTTGTACTTGTTAAAACACTTTTAACATAGGCCAGGCCTTGTTGTTACCTATATCCCAGCGATAATGCCTTTCATTATGCCTGGGAAGAAAACACTTTAAATTTGCTCAACTTGCCATTGGCTCAACTTATCCCAAGGCAAACATTTTGACTGTATTAGCCTACACAGCTACAAGGATGCACTTTCATGCTAGGTTTAGGACTTCATATTGAAGCTTATAGAGACCCCAACTGATGTACGGAACAATCTTAAAAGTATCTAGTTTGGTTTAGATACAAGCATCATGAAACCTCTAACACAATAAACTAATTTGACTTGGTGAAAATATTTTTGGGGGACCCAACTTGCTTACCACTTTTTCCATGTGGTTTCTTCCCTCACAGACTCCATGAAATGATGACCTCTTCCTAAATATTTTGTGTATGGTTTCCTAGAAACAAGGGCGGATCAACTTACCCCAACCTCGCCTATCCCTTCTTATTTCGGTATGTCAATACTTACTTTGGGATTTCAGATGCTAAACCAAGTGAAATGTACAGTGAGGGAAAAAAGTATTTGATCCCCTGCTGATTTTGTATGTTTGCCCACTGACAAAGACATGATCAGTCTATCATTTTAATGGTAGGTGTATTTGAACAGTGAGAGACAGAATAACAACAAAATAATCCAGAAAAACGCATGTCAAAATATTTATAAATTGACTTACATTTCAATGAGGGAAATAAGTATTTGACTCCTCTGCAAAACATGACTTAGTACTTGGTGGCAAAACTCTTGTTGGCAATCACAGAGGTCAGATGTTTCTTGTAGTTGGCCACCAGGTTTGCACACATCTCAGGAGGGATTTTGTCCCACTCCTCTTTGCAGATCTTCTCCAAGTCATTAAGGTTTCGAGGCTGACGTTTGGCAACTCAAACCTTCAGCTCCCTCCACAGATTTTCTATGGGATTAAGGTCTGGAGACTGGCTAGGCCACTCCAGGACCTTAATGTGCTTCTTCTTGAGCCACTCCTTTGTTGCCTTGGCCGTGTGTTTTGGGTCATTGTCATGCTGGAATACCCATCCATGACCCATTTTCAATGCCATGGCTGAGGGAAGTAGGTTCTCACCCAAGATTTGACGGTACATGGCCCTGTCCATCGTCCCTTTGATGTGGTGAAGTTGTCCTGTCCCCTTAGCAGAAAATCACCCCCAAAGCATAATGTTTCCACCTCCATGTTTGACGGTGGGGATGGTGTTCTTGGGGTCATAGGCAGCATTCCTCCTCCTCCAAACACGGCGAGTTGAGTTGATGCCAAAGAGCTCGATTTTGGTCTCATCTGACCACAACACTTTCAGTTCTCCTCTGAATCATTCAGATGTTCATTGGCAAACTTCAGATGGGTCTGTATATGTGCTTTCTTGAGCAGGGGGACCTTGTGGGCGCTGCAGGATTTCAGTCCTTCACGGCGTAATGTGTTACCAATTGTTTTCTTGGTGACTATAGTCCCAGATGCCTTGAGATCATTGACAAGATCCTCCCGTGTAGTTCTGGGCTGATTCCTCACCGTTCTCATGATCATTGCAACTCCACGAGGTGAGATCTTGCATGGAGCCCCGGCCGAGGGAGATTGACAGTTATTTTGTGTTTCTTCCATTTGCGAATAATCGCACCAACTGTTGTCACCTTCTCAACAAGCTGCTTGGCGATGGTCTTGTAGCCCATTCCAGCCTTGTGTAGGTCTACAATCTTGTCCCTGACATCCTTGGAGAGCTCTTTGTCTTGGCCATGGTGGAGAGTTTGGAATCTGATTGATTGATTGCTTCTGTGGACAGGTGTCCTTTAAGAGTGTGCTCCTAATCTCAGCTCATTACCTGTATAAAAGACACCTGGGAGCCAGAAATTTTTCTGATTGAGAGGGGGTCAAATACTTATTTCCATCATTAAAATGCAAATCAATTTATAAAAATCTTGACATGCGTTTTTCTGGATTTTTTTGTTATTCTGTCTCTCACTGTTCAAATAAACCTACCATTAAAATTATAGACTGATCATGTCTTTGTCAGTGGGCAAACGTACAAAATCAGCAGGGGATCAAATACTTTTTTCCCTCACTGTATCTGCTCCCTCAGGTCCTCTTTCACCTGTTACATTCCTGCACCTCAAACAGTTAGTAAAAAAAAAACATCCTACAAAGCCCTTCTTCCTCTCCTTGTGACCCATATCCTATCCTATTGCAACCAATGTCTCAAACTATTACGTAACATGACCTACATTTCTCCAAGCCAATCCAACTGATAGTGAAGTTATGGTAACACAAACTGTGTTCTCAAAGTTCAACACAAGTCAGTATAATCTTAGACATATCCCCTGAGTGTGTTGGGCTGTGCTGGTCTTAACAACAGGGCAATTCTGTAGGAGGGTCCAGGCAAGGCATGATGGAGGAAGGATGTTCTGCATTTCACCAAAGTGGAGGCCCCCCTCTATCCATTCAACACTGACAGTCAGGGGAAATCAGGATGGGGGTTCTGCCACCTACAACAAAAACAGAGAGGCAAGACAAATCAGAATCTGTTGTTTTTTTCAAGGCAATGCTGAATGAATGAATGCAGCTTGCTCATGCAACAGTATAAAAAATGCTGACACTCACCTAGGAGCCAGGTGGTATCTACTTCTGTTTGGACGTGTTGATCTAGGTCTGTTATGTTCTGTGAAAAATATAATAAAATATGATTAATTATGAATGATATCACATGATTATTATGAAATTCAAGCAAAAATAAAACAAAAAAACATTACGTTTTAGTCAGCTGGTTGAAAATCATTCAACCAACAACAGAATCAAATTAGGTTGCTACTGCTTTGTTGTTGGTTGGTTGGAATAAACCTCAATGGCACTACGCCCTGGCCCAGGCAGCCACCAGCAGCTAGTGGTCTGTCTGTAGCCTACCATGTGACTGTGCTCTGGGACCTCTGCTCTGGGGTCTGTAGAGTTGAGGAGGGGGACCAAGCTGTCCTGATGGGGATCTGGTCTGGGGTCTGTAGTGTTGAGGAGGGGGACCATGCTGTCCTGATGGGGATCTGGTCTGAGGTCTGCAGTGTTGAGGAGGGGGACCATGCTGTCCTGATGGGTATCTGGTCTGGAGTCTGCAGTGTTGAGGAGGGGGACCATGCTGTCCCGATGGGGCTCCTCTTTCCCTCCACTGCTCGCTGTGATCCACATGCTTCCCTGAGGAAAACACCACACAAAATATTTAAATGCTCTTTTAATTATGAGTTTCAGAGTCTTGGTATAAATATTTCGCTGTGGAGACGAAACATTAAGAATCACTCCAAACACAAACCATACAATTCTGTGCTCGCAAAGCGCCACCACCATCTCCCCACAACCCTGGGGTAATGATTACTGGTTGAGTCTAAGACATAAATTAAAGACATACCTTTTTTATGTCTACACTGAATAAAAGGAGTAGAAAACATTTTTTTTGCAGCGTATGCAATCTATAAACTCAGAACAATCATTGTATGAAAGACAGACACTTAAAGTGAACATTGGCAAGGAGACAAAAAAATAAAAATAAATGCCAGTTCTAAAACATCGGCCTCACACACGCATGCAGGCAGACACACGTACACGCACGGTCGTGGTGGCTCTGTTTTTGTCTTGTTTTTACTTCACCACTCTAATGATTAGAGGGGCCTCATTATGTTATTAGGGTCAGAATGTTTGTTTCACCTCAGAGGAACTCAATATTCTGGGAGCATAACATAATTTTTTTCTGTAAAGCACTTTCACTACGGCATATTGTAGGGCTGTGACGATACCAATATCTCAATTTTTTACATGGCAAAAATGAAAACACAGACCAAACTCTTTGTTCCTTTAAAAACCTACTGTATGTAAAATATTGTGCGCTATAACTTGGAAAATAAATACATGTGACTGGATGACAACATATTGAAGTTTGTTTCCAACATTAGGGCTGTTTTCCTAAAGAAGTTAAATCCACTTTGTGTTTTGTTTCCTTGTCACGATACTAATGAGTATCGCGATACTGGTATCGTCCTGGCTCTACTAAGTATTCCCTAAGTTCCCATTCCCATCTATACTTCAACAGTTATTTTGAGTTATGATAGATTTTGTTTACAGAACTAGTTGCTTATTCCAAACTGAAGCCCCCTTTCCACACTCAATATCTCATAGTATTTGTGGCCCACAGAAATAGGCTATCATACATTAACTCAAATACTGTGTGTGGACGAAGAGCAGACGTTACAAATCATATCATAGTAGCAAAACCAACCAAAACTAAACAAAATGTAGTTCATATTTCACGTGTTGTACAACGTCAAGAGAACAAACAGATGGATCATTTTTTAAATCTCCATAGAGAACCACAGTACGCTGGATGCCAGATGAGCAGTGGGGGTTGAGGACTTTGTACCAGGCTGGTCCTGGGATGTTATAATTTGGTTGTCTTGTTATGTTACCTAATATAGATCACATCCTATAAAAAGAATGATTCTTGTTATGACAAAGCATCTTGAGGAGCCAAAATGATCTTCCACTGGAACTTTGCCAATGGACAGAGGCCCAGATGGATCTTATTATAGACTGTAGAGACTACTGGGTATTGTTCCCCCACAAGGGGCACCAACAGTCCTGCATGGACTGTACACATTCTCTTTCAACTATAATTATTTCCTTTTATTCAGAACATATGGATAATAATGATAGGCTGTCTCTCCGAGCGTGGCAAAGAGTAGCAATGTCTTTGCCTCAGGAATCAACCAACATTGCAGCATAACTTTGAGGAGGATACTATGAACATTATTTTGTAAACTATTTGTTGTCATGGATTTTTTTAGCATTAGCCTAAACAAATAGTATAAGCAGATAAACATGTTTTGTAGATACAATATATTGAACAGTGATTACCCACTAACTGGGCAGAATGAGCTCCTATTACTATTACATTATTAGCACTAATGGACTGTGTTTATGTAAATATGTGTGCATTGTTCACCGACACTGGAACCTCAACACGTTTCATTAGTAAAATGAATGTGTCTCTAACCGGGATGTGTTGTCCGTGGTCTGGACTGGATGGTCTGGCCACGCCTGCTGCAGACTCCCAGGACAAGCTCTCTCAGAAAACGGAAGAGGGACACCCAGGATGCCTAAACAAGAGGATGAGCCAAGTTCAGTAAGAAAAACACTTCCCCCTTGAGCGTACACACAAGGTAGGGTTTCCCCTACATGATTTTGACTTCTATTGGTTTCAAAGACAACTTTGGAGCCACAATGCCTGGAAGTTGCTTTTAGGGCCTCATCTGGAAGATGATCTAGGGGAAAGATTGACTCAAAGTCTGAGGATCCAGTCACAACAGCTATAGTAGCTAATAGCTATAAATCAATCCTACCACCAGTTATAGTAGCTAATATCTACACTAAACAAAAATATAAAAGCAACATGTAAAGTGTTGGTCCATGTTTCATGAGCTGAAAGAAAATATCCCAGAAATGTTCAATAGAGCATATTTCTCAAATGTTGTGCACAAATTTGTTTACATCCGTTAGTGAGCATTTCTCCTTTGCCAAGATAATCCATCCACCTAACAGGTGTAGCATATCAAGAAGCTGATTAAACAGCATCATCATTAAAACAGGTGCACCTTGTGCTGGGGGTAATAAAAGATCCCTCTAAAATGTGCAGTTTTGTCACACAACACAATGCCACAGATGTCTAAAGTTTTGAGGGAGTGTGCAATTGGCATGCTGTCTGCAGGAATGTCCACCAGAGCTATTGCCAGAGAATTGAATGTTAATTTCTCTACCATAAGCCACCTCCAACGTAGTTTTAGAGAATTTGGCAATACGTCCAACCGGCCTCACAACCGCAGACCACGTGTAACCACGCCAACCCAGGACCTACACATCCGGCTTCTTCACCTGCGGGATCGTCTGAGACCAGCCACCTGGACAGCTGATGAAACTGGGTTTGCACAACCGAAGAATTTCTGCACAAACTGTCAGAAACCGTCTCGGGAAACGCATCTGCGTGCTCATCGTCCTCACCAGGGTCTTGACCTGATTGCAGTTTGGCGTCGTAACTGACTTCAGTGGGCAAATGCTCACCTTCGATGGCCACTGGCACGCTGGAGAAGTGTGTTATTCACGGAAGAATCACGGTTTCAACTGTACCAGGCAGATGGCAGACAGCGTGTATGGCGTCATTTGGGTGAGCGGTTTGCTGATGTCAACGTTGTGAACAGAGTGACCAAAGTTGGTGGTGGGGTTATGGTATGGGCAGGCATAAGCTACAGACAACGAACACAATTGCATTTTATCTATGGCAATTTGAATGCACAGAGATACCGTGACGAGATCCTGAGGCCCATTGACATGCCATTCATCCGCCGCCATCACCTCAAGATTCTGCATGGTAATGCACGGCCCCATGTCTCAAGGATCTGTACACAATTCCTGGAAGCTGAAAACGTCCCAGTTCTTCCATGTCATGCATACGCACCAGACATGTCACCCATTGAGCAAGTTTGGAATGCTCTGGATCGATGTGTACGACAGCGTGTTCCAGTTCCCGACAATATCCATCAACTTCGCACACCCATTGAAGAGGAGTGGGACAGCATTCCACAGGCCACAATCAACAGCCTGATCAACTCTATGCTAAGGAGATGTGTCCCGTTGCATGAGGCAAATGGTGGTCACACCAGATACTGACTAGTATTCTGATCCACTCTCCTACCTTTTTTAAAGGTCTCTGTGACCAACAGATGCATATCTGTATTCCCAGTCATGTGAATTCCATAGATTAGGGCCTAATTAATTTATTTCAATTGACTAATTTTCTTATATGAACTGTAACTCATTAAAATCTTTGAAATTGTTGCATGTTGTGTTTATATTTTTGTTCAGTGTATAAATCAAACCTACCACCACTGTTTCAGTAGCTAATATTTATAATCAATCCTACCACCACTGTTACAGCAGCTAATAGCTATAATCATTTTAGTCATTTAGCAGACGCTCATTTTTTTTGTTCATACATAATCAATCCTACTACCACTGTGTACACTGACTCACATTGCCCTCCAGCAGCTCCTCCTGTGGCCTCCCCAAGTGAGCCAGCAGGTACTTTGAGTGGAAGAGCAGGCCGTCAAAGGTGTTCCAGGGCATCAGCTGCTCCATGGGGAAGGGGCATCCGCAAGCGCTGTTGGCGGCCGCCAGGTGGGTCAGCCCTCGGACAAACAGAGAGCCCAGCTGAACTGCCCGGGGCGCCACATGAGAGACCTGCAGAGCAGATAGAATGAGTAGAGTTCACATGACTCTCTATTTTACATGAAAGAATCATATCTGTTCTACACCATGTTTCTATGGGAACGTTCTGTAATGTATCGTCCTAACTGTATGGCATGACGACAGTTGAAGAGTATGCTATAGCACATACATTATGGAGCCTGGCTAGTTCCAGTTAATAAACTCTGCCCCAGAGAGTTGACCTGCAGCAACAGCACAGAGAGAGGAGAGGCAGGGGTAGCAGCAGGACAGGAGCAGTTGCTAGCTAGCCAACAGGCAGATGTTCCTTGTACAATTCCCTACATATTTATTTGGACAGGAAAGCTAAAATGTTTAATTTGGTTCTATACTCCAGCATTTTGGATTTGAGATCAAATGTTTTATATGAGGTGACAGTACAGAATGTCACCTTTTATTTTACCGTTTAGAAATGAAAACACTTAATGTATCTAGTCCCCCCATTTGAAAGTATCATAAGTATTTGGACAAATTCTCTTATAGTGTATTAAATTTAGTCCAAAGTTTAGTATTTGGTCCCATATTCCTAGCTTGTGACTCTACAAACTTGTTGGATGCATTTGCAGATTGTATTGATTGTGTTTCGGATTATGTTGTGCCCAGTAGAAATGAATGTTAATAATGTATTGTGTCATTTTGGAGTCACTTTTATTGTAAATAATAATAGAATATGTTTCTGAACACTTTTACATTAATGTGGATGCTACCATGATTATGGACAATCATGAATGAATCTTGAATAATGAATCGTTACAGAGGCCTAAATATCATACCCCCCAAAAATGCTAACATCCCCTGTTATTGGCAGTGGTGAGAGGTTAGCATGTTTTGGGGGCATGATCTTTGTGCATCTGTAATTTTACATAAAGTGCTTCCATTTCTAAATGGTAAAACAGATATTAAAATACCCTCAATTAAAAAGTGACATTCTGTACTGTCGCCTCATATGAAACATTTGATCTCAAATCCAAAATGCTGGAGTATAGAGACAAATGAAAAGTTCCAGCTTCACTGTCCAAATAAATACGAAGGGGAGTGTATTTACCCTCAGGTCTCACCTGGGCCCTCCCATAGCAGATAAGAGAGGGCTGATTAGGCCCTGTCAAACACATCGGCCCAGAGACCTGCCTGCCACCTGCTCCCCATTTAAACACAGCTTCAGCTAAAGCAAACTAAGAGAGAAGAGAGATAGAGCTAAAGTCTGCGCCTTCCAGGCACACTGCCCCTAAACAAAGCACTCATCCCACATCTAAACACACATACAGGCAATCAAGGGAAGCTACTACTTTGGGGCTTATTTAAAACAGAGTATCTCTGAGCATAGGCCTAAACTGGCCAATTTGACACGTAGTAATTTGACAATGTGTGGCTACACATGTCCTGTACATTGGTTGAAATTGGCAGTTAAAGTAAGAAACACATACTTGTGTGTGGGATCCCTGGCCAATTAGGAAACCAGTAAAAATGTTCCTTTAACATTTCTAAACTTAGTCAAACCTCCTTTCCATAATTTGGTGTATTTTTCTCTAAATGCTTAAGTCAGAATGCTAATCTCCAGCCATGGAACCACCCTCAGTGAAGAGGATAAAAGTTGGGAAGGACCATGTCTTTAAGTAGATGGGTGCAGCTGTCCTCACAGCAACTTCCCCAAAGCATAAACATTCAAATCTCCTCCAACCAGATGCCTGAGACAGCCGACACCCCTGGGGGCACCCCTCTGTGTTTTGGACAACCGTCTCCCGTCCATTACACAAGAGAGGATCTTACTAGTGTATATTTGAAACAGCACCACACATCCCATTCTGCTGTACAAGCTTAGATGATCAGTGTCTCATGACCAGGGTTGCAAAATTCTGGGAACGTTCAATAACTTCTCTGGTTTTCCCGAAATCCAGGTTGGAGGATTCCCGGAATGGGGAGGGAATAAGCAGGAAATCCAGAATCCTACAATGAGGATTTCTGGAAAACCAAGGAATTTATTGAACGTTCCTGGAATTTTGCAACCCTACTCATGACACTAGTAGAAACTAGGAATGGTCTAATTTGGAGCCCTTGCCGTTGAATAAAAGGGTTTATCTGTGTGAGTGTGGATGAGGGCTGAATGCTGGCTCCCAGCAGCTCCCTAATGCAGTGGCATCCCCTGATCCCCAGCCCTAGGCTGAATGGACATTCCCCCAGTATGAGAAAGCACTGCAGGGGGAGAGAGATTAGAGAGAGAGGAGAGAGATGGAGACTCTCCAGGGGCATCAGGCTGCCCCTGGAAAGTCTCCTGCCATCTGGCTCCCCCTCCTCCTCTCTCCAACCCTCCCCGCCCCTTCTGAGATTTCAGGCAGATGTGAAATACTTCCTGATGGGATACAACAATGGTGTGGGGCAACAGGTGCACGTGGAGCCCTGGAGTAGGAAAGGCAGACAAGCCTACACACTCTTATCTGTCCAGCATCAGGCTGTCCCCACCCAGCCCGGCGTGTGCCTCTCTCTCTCCCTCCTCCAGTCCACCCATTCAACACCTGCTACTGTGCACTTACTAAACAGAAATCTCCCCAACACAAACAATCCTTATCACCCCATATATTCTGGGATCTAGTGTTACACAAGCTGGAGTTTACTGAAGCTGTTATATAAACCAACACACACAAAAACCGTACAACGTTCAATGATCACAACAAACATAACCTTTAAAAGTAAGAGAAAGAATGGAGAGTTGCACATGATAGTGGCCACAGTGAGCCGATTTGTATTAATATCAGAGTAACAGTAACAATCCTGATTTGACAAGTCCAGAGAAACTGACTGACGCTAGCTTTAGGGAGGACGCTATGGAGGCACCGTAAATCAGGAGGAGGCTTCCTGGATGTCTCCCACCAGGCTTTAATTTGTCATTGCTATCATCCATTATCTCTACCGTAAGGAGCCGCTATCAACCCGGGCTCAGGAAAACCACTGCCCGCTCTGGGCAGCTGGGGCAGAAATAGCAGGCATAGTAGGGTTTAAATTAGGGTGGGGAGCTGCAAATAGCCGCTGTGGTCAGTGTCGGGGACAGCTTGGAGTCCGTCGCCAAAGCATCATTCTCAGGTTCAGACCACAATTAGAGCAGTTTGGTAGGAATGTCACAATGCGCCCCAAAATTACGCCCCCCTCAGCAGTTTCTACTGCTGCATCTTCTTGCATATTGAGAAAGAGTCAACTGAGTTTCTTCTGTGGGACTTGCTGTATTGTGGAAAAACGGCTTCTTGACTATACAATTCTCCCAAGACCTAGGGTGGGTCAAATAAAATCTGTGTTCTTGCACCCTACATGCTATGGTCTCTCAGTCTGTTGTCAGTCATTTGCGATCAGCCAATCATCCTCCATCTGACCTTCAACACACACTCTAAATAGACCTTTGTCAGGCCATTATCTTAAGTGGTTGTTTATTTGCAAACATCTCAATGACTGGGTAGGAGCCATATGATCATGGGCTATACACTATACACTCTCCAACCTAATTGGCAGGTTGCCCTCACATGATGCTGGAGTTTGCAAAATTAGAAAACTTGGATGAGTAGTATAAAGATGTAGTGTATATACCGGAAAGACTTCTATGCCTTCCGAAAAGCTTTCCAACTATCTTCAGTTTTTCCTAAATAGAAGGGTCCTACTTTAAAAACAAACTACTTTATAATCTTAATGAAGTCTTCACAAACGCTTAATAAGGCCTACATAGATGATACACAAATCATTTATAAGCAAATGTATAACTATATAAGTTACAGGTCTTTATATCTGACACTTTCCCAAATGTGATATAACCCTTTTCTGAAGCATCTATAAAGACCTTAAAGGGTTTGTCAGAGACAGCCAGAGGACACTAGTGTATCTCACTCACCCTTGTGTGAAGCAGTTCTGAGTAGGATTTGTACCTGACACAGATAGCTTGGCTGAGATAAGCATCTATGTCTTCCAAGGAGAGGCCCACCTAAAAACAAGCATGAGAAGTGTTCTAGTCTGAGGGTAATGGAAACACGGTCTCGTATACAAAACAAACATCCAAGAATGAGAAATCACTGAGAAAACATGAATAATGCATTATGCATAGAGCACCTTAAGTGCAGCAGTAGACATACAGTGGGGAAAAAAAGTATTTAGTCAGAAACCAATTGTGCAAGTTCTCCCACTTAAAAAGATGAGAGAGGCCTGTAATTTTCATCATAGGTACACGTCAACTATGACAGACAAATAGAGAAAAAAAAATCCAGAAAATCACATTGTAGGATTTTTAATGAATTTATTTGCAAATTATGGTGGAAAATAAGTATTTGGTCACCTACAAACAAGCAAGATTTCTGGCTCTCACAGACCTGTAACTTCTTCTTTAAGAGGCTCCTCTGTCCTCCACTCGTTACCTGTATTAATGGCACTTGTTTGAACTTGTTATCAGTATAAAAGACACCTGTCCACAACCTCAAACAGTCACACTCCAAACTCCACTATGGCCAAGACCAAAGAGCTGTCAAAGGACACCAGAAACAAAATTGTAGACCTGCACCAGGCTGGGAAGACTGAATCTGCAATAGGTAAGCAGCTTGGTTTGAAGAAATCAACTGTGGGAGCAATTATTAGGAAATGGAAGACATACAAGACCACTGATAATCTCCCTCGATCTGGGGCTCCACGCAAGATCTCACCCCGTGGGGTCAAATTGATCACAAGAACGGTGAGCAAAAATCCCAGAACCACACGGGGGGACCTAGTGAATGACCTGCAGAGAGCTGGGACCAAAGTAACAAAGCCTACCATCAGTAACACACTACGCCGCCAGGGACTCAAATCCTGCAGTGAAAGACGTGTCCCCCTGCTTAAGCCAGTACATGTCCAGGCCCATCTGAAGTTTGCTAGAGTGCATTTGGATGATCCAGAAGAGGATTGGGAGAATGTCATATGGTCAGATGAAACCAAAATATAACTTTTTGGTAAAAACTCAACTCGTCGTGTTTGGAGGACAAAGAATGCTGAGTTGCATCCAAAGAACACCATACCTACTGTGAAGCATGGGGGTGGAAACATCATGCTTTGGGGATGTTTTTCTGCAAAGGGACCAGGACGACTGATCCGTGTAAAGGAAAGAATGAATGGGGCCATGTATCGTGAGATTTTGAGTGAAAACCTCCTTCCATCAGCAAGGGCATTGAAGATGAAACGTGGCTGGGTCTTTCAGCATGACAATGATCCCAAACACACCGCCCGGGCAACGAAGGAGTGGCTTCGTAAGAAGCATTTCAAGGTCCTGGAGTGGCCTAGCCAGTCTCCAGATCTCAACCCCATAGAAAATCTTTGGAGGGAGTTGAAAGTCCGTGTTGCCCAGCGACAGCCCCAAAACATCACTGCTCTAGAGGAGATCTGCATGGAGGAATGGGCCAAAATACCAGCAACAGTGTGTGAAAACCTTGTGAAGACTTACAGAAAACGTTTGACCTGTGTCATTGCCAACAAAGGGTATATAACAAAGTATTGACAAAACTTTTGTTATTGACCAAATACTTATTTTCCACCATAATTTGCAAATAAATTCATTAAAAATCCTATAATGTGATTTTCTGGATTTTTTTTTCTCATTTTGTCTTTCATAGTTGACGTGTACCTATGATGAAAATTACAGGCCTCTCTCATCTTTTTAAGTGGGAGAACTTGCACAATTGGTGGCTGACTAAATACTTTTTTGCCCCACTGTAACTATTGTTCCTTATCAGACACTATCAGCTTCATTGACTAGAAAGAACCACAGAGAAAAAGAGCTAGGATTTTCAAATTATCTATGTGATAATGCCGGCCCTCTTTTCATAACATAACAAAGGTCAATAATACGAGCTAGCAACATTGTAAAACCCCAGAGGGGTGACTGGTTCATGTAGACTTCTACGTTGTTCAATCATGATAACACTCTACTGAGACGAGAGGCTGAAGTACAGGCGTTTGTAAAGAATCAGACCAAAAAAACACTTCACACTAAAACATAGTATTTTCCCCACCTGCATGGCAATGTAGGTCACAAGGCACAGCACAGACATCAAAGAGCCATCCAGACGATCATGCTCCACTGAGAATTCATCCAACTCAAATACAGCCAAGAAGGTGGAGATGCGGAGGCATGTCGTTTCGGAGTCCTTCCCAAACCATAAACCTGTCAAATCTAGTTTTCCAACTTGGCAAGGAAAATATTATTTCAAGGTGAGATATATCCATCTACGGCACTTTGCATCAATATGCAATGAACTTCTTATTCCACATGAGTTGTTAAATTAATGTTAAGAATTCACAACATACCAGAGTGGTTCAGGGGCAAGGGAGATACTACTTTGGGCTCCTTTAGTGGGTTTCCAGGAAAGACAAACCATTCCCTCACGGTTGGGGCCCGTCCACCAATGTCTGAGAAAAGATGCATGATAAATGGCAACCTGTTTCATTGAGGTGGTGCTAGGTAGTAAAATTGACAACAAATAAGAATGCAATGTTGTAATAACCATGTAATAATCACCATGTAATATTGTAATAACTATGTAATATACAATACCTGGAGTTGTGGGTAACAGAATGCCGTAGATGCGTTCTCTGCAAGGTTGATACACAATTGCCTGTGGAGTGAGCTCAGCATCCTCCCTGTCTTCAAGTGTATTACTGCATTCCACCACACCATCATACAGTACATTGTATACCATAAAACACTCTGCTCGCATGTGCTTTTCTTTGGCTGCCTGTAAAACAAAAAAACAGGATTCAAAACAATCATCATCAACATCATATTGTTTGGGCTTTTTATGTTATTAGCTCTTTAAACTGCAACAATGTATGTCTGCTTCTTCTATTGAATTACCTTGAGGATGTCAGGACTCAAGTAGCTCTTCATCAGACACACAGGGCTATGAGGAGAGGTATCACTAATGTCCCATAGCGGCTGTTGACCAGGAAGTAGATAGTACTGTATTCCTTTCTCCAGAACCTCTCTATCTGTTAGAGGCAGAGAGCTAACACCATGGGCTCCCTCTCTGGACAGCTTGTTGCTACTGATGAAATCTGCTACAGCATAAATCTTCTCCCCTTGAGGTGGAGACTGTGGATGTTTCCTCCTGTAAGCTGCCAGGGCATCACTACGCAGCCGCTGCATCCGCTGCTCTGGCACCACGTCATTACCAAGGAGACACGCGAGCAGAGGGAGCTCACTCTTCTGCAGCTGGAGGGCATGGCACAGTTTGTCTCTGGAAAACAGCACAGTGATCATGGTGTCTAGCCTCAGCCGACTCACAGACAGATAGGGGACTGAGTCATAGATAATAAAGTCTGTGTCCTGCCCCAGGATGCCCATACAGTTGTGACGGAGGGCAAAGCAGGCGATCTCATAGTCGGCCTCGCGAACAGAGCACCAAGTCTCCTGGCCCAGAGACTTGAGGGCAAAGCGAGAGAAGGTGGCCAGCCCTGAGGGGAGGCAGAACAGCTCCCGGCCAGGCTGTTGACCATGACACTTTAAATGGTGGAACACCCTGGCAACCTCCTCGTTGACCTTCAGTCGCCGTTTCACCCACTCTGCCCGTTTTTCTTCTTCCACTACCCCGTCGAAGAAAAACACAAGTCGAATACCTGCAGTCGTGAATGCACCCACAAACTCCTTCAGGCAATGCATATACTCTTTCCACTGGCCACCATACACCCAGGCTTGACAGCTGTACCAGTGCCTCAGACAGGCCATGCCATCCACCACCAGTGTAGGAGGAGTGCTGCTGCTGCCCTGTTGGTGACTGTTGACATGCTGCCTTGCCATCTCCCTGAGATCCACCATCACACAGGTTTCTGGACAACATTTCTCCATGAAATACTGCAAGCCTTTTACACCCATTCCTGCTACAAAGACAAACAAATTAGATAAATACGTTTTAAATAGTGTGCTTAGCTATTCCAATAGGAGCAATATTTACACTAGATCATACCAGTCAATGTATATCATGCAAGTGAATTCATGACTGACTAAATGGGTAATGCTCACAGAATATTCAGGGCAATTCATTTCACAACATTTTAAACAGTTTCAACGGTGCACGCTCACTTTGCGCGCACTGAAATGTGCCTCCCTGGCCATGCTTTTCAGTCTGCAGGACTTGCATGTAACAGTAGCTACCTACCTTGCTAGCTAACCAACCCCTGGGCCTGGCGAGCAACTACGGGTTTGCACTGTATCTGCATTCGATGCATTGCAGTCTGCATAACTGTGTATACGTGATGCACCAAATAGCCTTCCTTAATGTGGTCTTACTTACTTCGGCGTTAAGATAACGTGGCAGCATGTGTGCTAGCTAGCTGTTAGCAGATAGGATCACTTCCTGTTTTGAACTGGACGCTGAGTTGCGTCAGCACGTAAGAGACAAAAACACACGTGCGCGCAGGGATACTTTTTGTTTAACTTTTAAAATGTAACATTCTGCAACGAGGTAACTCAAGTTTGCAACATTTGTTTCGATTTTTTAAACATCACCACAGTAGCAGTTTGGGAGACGTATTATAGCTATTGCAACTTGAAAGTTGTAACTGTTCAATGTGGTCCTCTGTAGCTCAATTGGTAGAGCATGGCGCTTGTAACGCCAGGGTAGTGGGTTCGATCCCCGGGACCACCCATACGTGAAAATGTATGCACACATGACTGTAAGTCGCTTTGGATATATTATTATACGTATTATTATTCAATAAGAAGAAGTAGGCCTAGGCTATGAGTCAGGCCTAGCCTAAAAGTTGGCCCTCTTCATACCCTAATAATTGTTGAACCTTTGGATATAAAGTTGAGGAAAGCGTTTAATCAATAGTGAAGTTGGTTAACTAGGCATAATATTGAATTGATGTTAGGCCTACTGCTGTTGAAGAGAAATAGATCATCCAGGAGTTATATTACTGCGCACACAAAGCTCTATCTTCTATTGTGGCAGTGTCTTGAAAAGTGTGAATGGGTTAGAGCATATGCGGGCTGTCACCACAGGTACTTACATCTGTTCATCTCTGGGCAGATGCTCCCAGGGACATGGGGAGCCATTCTAAAGGAGCACCGCCCCGTTAAATCCTCCATTCAGTGGGATGGCGTTGTGTCGTAATTCAGTTTGCCTTGCTACGGAATTGGGGTGAGGGGCTCATAACAACGGTCTGATGGTATCTTAGCACTGGAGCTCATCCCGAGGGTGAAATAGCGAGGGTGGTTGGTTTTATGGGTGTAGGGATGCAATTGGCTATAAACAAAAAAGACTGCAGCATACAAAGTCACAACAATATTTCCTGCTAACTTATTAGGCCTATTCTAGCCTACCTTAGGCTATGTATTTATTTTAGTTCATAATACAACAATGTAAACTATTTTACAGTGCATACTTTATTTAATTTGTAGGATCAGATGCCTTAATGTAGGCTATACGTCTAATCCACTGAATATGGGGTTTTCTTATGCTCATATGCCTAAATGACTAGGTTATAGACCTAGGCCTACGTCTTGATATCGCAGTGTGGATCACCTCTAACCTTTTATTGATTTTCTTCACACCCCCTAAGGACCCACCCTTGACACACACGTTTTTAAAAAAATACCCAGAAGAGAGGCAGATGTTCTCGGTAAAGCACGCGACTGCCCACCACTCTGCTAAAGAATTCAAGAGTGGCTCAGCAGTACAAATCCGTCCTAAAGAATGCACACGAATACAGGCACGCGCGCACGCACGCTCTCACACACAGACACACACAAACAAAGTTACCCCAATCTCCCCCCATGACCCCAACAACATACAGGGCACAAAAAACGACCTCTTTGAAATGTTTTTTTTGTCCACTCACAGAGCAGCTGGCCAGAGTAATCGGACTTCTTGAAGACAAATGAATCCCGTTTCGTTCATAGAATCACAGGTAAGAACACGGGTAGGCTATTGTCATTAAAATAGGGGTAGGGCCAAAGCGAGCAGATGATTTGCTATTGAGTTTCTGTCGTCATGGGGTGATGCTCCACTGCTGCCTATCCATCATCTGGAAGCAATCGAGACACGCGACAGATTCTTTATCATTGTAATCAACACAAGCCTTTGCAGCATCACACAGGATGCCGACGAAAGCTCCATTGTCCTAAAATAAATCTAGGCCTGGAGGTTCAGCGCACTAAACAAACGATGTCTTATGTCTGAACTCCAGTTCAGTTATATCACTGCGGGAAACGATGGAGAAAAGAGATGCCTCAGCACATCTCACCTGTTGCCTGCATGCCTATTTGATAAAGCAAAACGTTAGACATTTCTGTTATGTTCACTGGTGTCTGTTGATGTTCAAAACAATATACATTAATGTATTATTCACAACTAATAACATATTTATTCAACAGAGTTATAACAGCAGGTCATAATGTTGATCCAAAAGAGCAATTGCGCATTCCGCGGTACTTCAAATAAGGTCCTAAATGGATGATTGGGTTGTAGAAGTCTAGTGTTAACATAGGCCAACGCCTGAGTTGCTATCTGGTCGTTATGGTGTGATGTTCACAGTGTTTATGTTCCCACGAGCAATCTTTCCGAAAAACTTAAGTTCTGGCTTCCCTAACCATATGGTCAGCATCATACCGTTGCAGTCTCTTTAACGTGCTTCCAGTCCAATTTGGATGAAGACTGCAATATGTAGAGAAACAGTAGAGACATGCAGTTGAAGTTGGGGGGAAAACGCCATTTGGTGAGGAGCAGATGGTTGGCTTGGGGGGCTGTCCGCGTCTAAAGGCGTGTCGTGCCCTTCAGATAGAATCCCCAAGGGCTCCCCCTTGTATTCAAAATCAATGAAAATTAAAGCGCAAAGAAAAGATGAATAGTCAGACCTCGAGTCCCTCCTTTGTTCATTGGAGCTACTGGTGGGCAGGAGTTAAAGTACAACAGCCCCCTATAGAAACACTTAAGTTAAACAGTCTCCCCATAGTCCACCTTCAGAAAGAAGGGGAGTTCGAATAAGAAGCTTTCTGCTTGATTTAACCAAGACAGAATCGCGTGGCATAAATTAAGTTTGAAAAGAATAAGTGTAGTGAGCATGATTCTGAAGGATTTCACCATGCCTTTCAGTTACGCTTTGCTGCAGTAATCGAGAAATGTGTGCCACGTCAATATAATAAATCCCTGATAGAAGGCCTATATGATGATAGAAGGGTTGGGGGAAGTGGTGAATGCGTAAACCTCAAGCACGCAGAATTGCGCACACAGCAAAAACCTGTAAAAACGTGGAGCCACATCCTTCGGATTACTGCATTGAATCAACTGGTTAAATGCAATTCGGATCTTCGAACACATATGGCCATGTAGACACATGAATAATGGTATTAGTCATAGTGTTTAAATGTTCTTTCTCCTACTTTTCCTTTGGGTACAAAGGTAGGCACCTATTCCAAATCTTTATTTGGAAGTGTCATATCTTGAACATTATAAGGACTGTAAACAAAAAAATATCAGTCAGACATTATACACACAATTTCTTAGTAAACCCAAGAGTAGATTAAAACACACGAAAAAAAAACGTTGCATAATTGCGCATGAGTAAACGCTTTCCTTGTTTTTAAACTCTGCTCAAAAATGTAAATGTCGTTGCTGCCACCCGCCAAAAATTGAAATGCCGTTTCAATTAGCGTCCTAATTAAGACCACCCCGACACACACACACACACCCTCTCAGTGTCACCAGAGAGAGGCAGAGTAATCAGCTTAAAGCCACCAATACAAATGATGTCCACTTTCACATGACACAAATGTGTTTCTAAAAGTTTCAGCAATGAAAACGAATGGACAGTTTACCACATTTTATAGGCTAGGCCTAGTTGAAAAATCTCTGTTGTTGGCTAATATCGAAATAACCAAAAAGGGGTGTCTTTTTTTCTGGAATAGCAAACGACTTGTTTTTTTAACTGGACATTGTTGTAGGGACGGCAGCGTGCGCCGAGGGGAGCTCTTTCTCCCTAGTACATTGTGGAGAGAGCAGGTGCTGCTGCCTGAATTACCATACAGCTGAGAGCACAAAGAAGAAACTTATTCTTACCCCCGCACAATAACAAAGTGCCTTAATGACAGCCACGCGAACGACACACACCAACTCAGTTTTTACTGCCCAGGGTATAAGAATGGAAAATGGAAAATCTTTACATATATGCCTAAAGTCAACACAATATTTACAGTTGTAAAAATAAATAAAAATAAAATAATCCACCTGTTGATGCTAAAAGTTTTCAAAACTCATAAAAGTGTTGAGGAAACCCATGGTACATGCGTAAAGTGCAAGCATCTACGTTTGTGTAGTTTGGTTTTATTGAATTATATTGAGATAATATCCTTAGTTTTGGGCAAGATTTTCTAAGAGCTATGGGAAAACCTATTTAGGCCTATAGTTTATCGATTTTTCATTTTGATTAAATGTAAATTCATGTTGACCATTAGTTTTACATTGTGATGAAACATACTCATTGTAATGGTGTGAATAAACAGTTTATGTTGACGAACTATAACAAAATACAAAAATGAAATAAAAAACAAAGTTTCAAAGAAAAGGGTGATGAAAAGCTGGAAAATAAGGTTGAAATAGTCTTACATTGGAGGCCTAGGCTATTTGAAGCGGGTACATGGAGCCTACATGGGTCTTACGATGTGGAGATGTTCTGTGATGTAATTTGAGGTTTATGTCAGAGAGGGATGTAAAGGATTCTTGAGGTTAAAAATTTGTTGGAATGTAAATGAGAATGTTTTGTTTTGTGCCATGGGGAAGGAGGGTTGCACATTTTACAGCTCAGTGACCATTTGGCGATCTTTTGAGAGGGAGGTTTTGAAAAGTGTCCCTTTGTGACAGCTCGAGACAGATTGGGGAGTACCTCATTTGCATCTCATTACTCTAGCAGCGCAGTCTGTATATAACCAGCGGCAGGCTGACTGGGATATCAGACACACGCATAGCTACATAGGGAGAAGAACTGAGAAAGCCTTGGGGAAGTGTTTTGGATCAGTAATTTTTTTCTCATTATCAATCAAGGTGAAATAAATAAAACACAAGCAACCCTAAAACTGGGTTGTCTTCTTTGTGTTGAACTGCATTATCTAATAACTGGATTGGAATTAACGCCTTGGCACGGAATTTCGACTTCATTCCCACATTTTTCGTCGTGATTTTTCGTCACCAGCACCACTGTTCAGGATTACATTGTACTGTAAACTTTGTTCATGAAGATACACTGAGAAGCATCGAGATAAACTGAAGTTCCATTCAAGACGTCTGAAGACCGTACGGATTTTTTAATTGGGACTTTTGATAACGGAAAATAACTTTCTCGATGATTTTCTGAGCTGGGTCATACATAAATTACCCTGGCTCCTGGACATTTAACTATTTATTGAATATTCTCACCACAATGGGACACCAGTCGCTCGCGATAGCTGTCATCCTTTGTGTCTTGATATGCCAGGTATTGCGAATTTGACTCTCCTTTGAATTGATTTGTAATTTAAGTGTAGGCATATTCATTAGTCATGTGTACATATCGAAAACATATTAAACCTTCATGTTTTTATTGTGTTTTTACAGGGTCTTTGTTCAGGGGTTTTCGAGTTGAAGTTACAAGAGTTTCTCAACAAGAAAGGAGTGACAGGCAATACAAACTGCTGCAAAGGAGCCTCTGGGATTCAGCAGTGTGAATGCAAAACGTTTTTTAGAATCTGCTTGAAGCATTATCAAGTTAACGTAACACCGGAACCCCCTTGTACCTATGGCGGTGCCGTGACTCCTGTCCTCGGATCAAACTCCTTTCAAGTGCCTGAAACAACTGCAGAAGCCTTCGCCAATCCTATTCCGTTTTCTTTTGGATTCACGTGGCCGGTGAGTGTTTCAGCGCATTTTTGTCAAATTATACAATGTAATCTTTGTCAGCATGCTCAGGGCTCACCACTTATGGGGCATTGACAATATCAGTAACGGTCGTAGTGAAATGTAGTCTATATCGGGAGAGGAGGGGACTTGGGCACGTTTAACAAATGCTATCAGGGTGGGAACTTCACGTCCTCATAGATGGCATATAATTGCCAGCTCTGCGTGAAATTCCGAAACGTTTCATTTTACAGCTGTGAGTAAGTGTGAAAGTGGTTGAATTAAGTGTGAAGCCTAAAAGTGGCACACCTCTATTATTAGGCCTAACAGACGCCACCCTTCACATGTGAATTAGCCTGATGTTTATGGACAGTGGTGCCTCAGTATCTTATAACCCTTTTGCACAGTTGTTCATTATTCGATTTTTTCCTTCTATTTTTTCATCAGGGGACATTCTCTCTCATCATTGAGGCCCTACACACAGATTCCGACGATGATCTTTCAACAGGTAAATTCCATAGAGAGCAACAGGTCACCAAATAAATTTACATAATCATTCATTGTAAATATGTATAGGGATATATGTACTAATTCCTGTATTCACCATTTTCAGATAACCCTGAACGTCTGATCAGTCGCTTCACCACTCAGAGGCATCTGACAGTGGGAGATGAGTGGTCCTCTGATTTACAGACTGGTGGAAGAACAGAGCTGAAGTACTCCTACCGATTTATTTGTGATGAGCATTACTACGGGGAGGGTTGTTCTGTTTTCTGCCGTCCACGAGATGATGCCTTTGGTCACTTCACCTGTGGGGAACGTGGTGAGATCATTTGCAACTCAGGATGGAAGGGAACCTACTGCACAGAACGTAAGTAGGCTGCATCCTCCTTACTTTTGCTTTCCCATACTTAGCCTACTTTAACTTTTGTTGTTCCGTTTTTTCTTTTTCTTTCACAAAAGTATTCTTAATGTGGTTAATTTGCAGTCTTTAGTCAGAATAAACCATGCGTTATTACCAAATAGTTTCACTTATCAAAAATGTGGGTTGCAACAGGTGTCTATGCTACTGTTTAGGCAAATTTAAATGAGAGAAGTTTGCCGAATAATCTCACGCGTGCCATAGATTAAATGTAATGCCTGATTGGCTACTTGGCAGTGCGCTTGGCGTTGATTGGCTTAGTGTGGTGAGGCATTGTTGGAAGTGGGCAGCTGCTGAGTGAGAGTAGACAATGGAGCAGCTGTCCTGCACTGGCACCATGTACACCAGCTGTCCACTCTTATCTGCACAGACTCGGGGACATTAAGGGGAGGGGCTGTATGAGCAGAAAGAAAAAAAGGGACTTCTGACCCATAGTTAGGAGAAAAAGAAGCCTTTGTGTGTGAATCTTTTGTGTGGGAGCAACTGTGTTAAGCAGAATGTTGGTCCCCCTGGTGACAAGGGGAGCGTATTTTCTAGGTAACGGCTAATGGGGCCACCAGCCCACTGAAATGAATTAGCCAGTGTTTACTGAAAAGGGCCCATCTGAAAAGAAGCTCTGCTGGTATAAACACATGTTCCAATGAGTTAGATTCCCATGATTCACGTGTGATGGTCTCTCTCATTGCAGCGATCTGTCTTCCTGGTTGTGGTGAGGAGCACGGGTTCTGTGACAAGCCTGGTGAATGCAAGTAAGTCCCAATGACCTGTCCATCTCTGTGTTAAACACCAGTCAACAGGATCACAGTTTGGTATAGTTTCATATATGCTAGTATCTAACCATTTGCATTGTGTGTGGTTACAGGTGTAGAGTTGGCTTCAGTGGGCGTTACTGTGATGACTGCATCCGCTACCCAGGGTGTCTTCACGGCACCTGCCAGCAGCCGTGGCAGTGTAACTGCCTGGAGGGATGGGGTGGCCTCTTCTGCAACCAAGGTGAGTTCTGTTTATCTCCCATATGCAACTGACTAGTGCTCTTCTGTCATTCTCCACCATATTCAGACTCTACTGGTCTTGAGACAGCATACAGTATCTCCACTAAGTTCTTTAAGCCACTATTCCAATCAGGTTCAAAGAATAGGACACTGCAATTCAAACATGGTGAAAACATTGGTGGGGGGGCTTTCTTCGCTTTAAAATAAGTCGGAAAACATCCTGGATATAACTGTACATTAACTTTCAGAAGACTAAGCCACATGTGCCATTGTCTGTTTCAGATCTCAACTACTGTACACACCACAAGCCCTGCATGAATGGAGCCACTTGTACCAATACTGGCCAGGGTAGCTACACCTGCTCCTGTAAGCCCGGCTTCTCTGGGGCCAGCTGTGAGATTGAGGTCAACGAATGTTCCGACAACCCCTGCCGGAATGGGGGAAGCTGCACTGTAAGTAGTTTTGGCTGAGCTGCCCCTCATTAGTTACATTAGAAAGCATTTCTCAGTGATGTAATGTCACATAGTGTGTGGTGCTGCTATGCTAGAGCTGGCAAGCATTCCTCGTATCATGTTGATAACAAGTTAATAACAAGTCGTTAGGGAGTTGTAACTTTTGCTAAGCAAGTGCTTTGTCTTTCCTCTGACAGGATCAAGAAAACACATTCAAATGTGCCTGCCCCCCAGGCTTCTATGGCAACAACTGTGAGCTCAGTGCCATGACCTGTGCTGATGGGCCTTGCTTTAACGGCGGACGCTGTGCTGACAACCCAGAGGGAGGATACTACTGCCAGTGTCCTCTCGGCTATGCCGGATTCAACTGTGAGAAGAAGATCGACCACTGCACCTCCAACCCATGCTCCAACGGTAAGCTGAAACAAAGTTCTCCAGTTCTGAGTTTACCAGTTGAATCTTTCTATTGAAAGTATGAGGACATGAATGAATACTTGAACAGACGGTTTAACATGTCTTTCTAATGTCTCCAGGTGCCCAGTGTATGGACCTTGTGAACTCCTACATGTGCCAGTGCCCTGAGGGTTTCTCCGGAGCCAACTGCGAGGACAACATTGACGAGTGCGCCAACTACCCCTGCCAGAATGGTGGCACATGCTCGGATGGCATGAACGATTACACCTGCACCTGCCCACCTGGATACACCGGAAAGAACTGCAGCTCGCCCATCAGCAAATGCGAGCACAACCCCTGCCACAATGGAGCCACCTGCCACGAGAGGAAGAACCGCTACGTGTGCGCCTGTGTGCCAGGCTACGGTGGCCATAACTGCCAGTTCCTCCTGCCAGCGCACCCCCAGGGACAGCCCGGGGTGGAGGGAGCTGATAAGAGATACTCTGATGACCAGGACCAAGGTACATTCCCCTGGACCGCGGTGTGTGCTGGGATAATCCTGGCGCTGCTGCTGCTGGTGGCCTGTGCCGTGCTGATGGTTTACATCCGGGTCAAGGTGCAGCAGAGGAGCCAGCAGGGAGACAACCACAGTGAGAGTGAGACCATGAACAACCTGGCCAACAACTGTCAACGACCTGACAAGGACCTATCTGTCAGCGTAATCGGCACGACAGGGGTCAAGAACACAAATAAGAAAGTGGACTTTCACTCGGACAATGCTGGAGGAGAGAAGAATGGCTACAAGTCCCGATACTCGTCAACGGATTATAATCTGGTGCATGAGCTGAAGCCAGAAGATTTGTCGAAAGAGGACCAAGAAAAGAGCGAGGCGAAGTGTTCCGAATCAAATTGTTCCGAATCTCTGTGTTCGGACAGTGATTTCGAAGAGAAACACAGAAAAAGTTTAAAGAGGTGAATATCTACACATTTGGATATAAATTATTTGTGACGTTAATGGGAGTAGTCATGCTTGTGTCTGAAGAGTCTTGGTGAATGTTGATGTTAATGTCTTTATTTTTCTTGTGTTCTCAGTGACGCCTCAGAAAATAAACGTCCAGAGGAGTCGATGTGCAACGAAGCATCGATGTGCAACGACACAAAGTACCAGTCAGTCTACGTCATATCAGACGAGAAAGATGAATGTATCATTGCGACTGAGGTGAGTTGAGTTGGCTCTTTTTCACTGCTGCTAATATCTCTTTGCAGTTTGCATATTTCGTTTTCACTGGTCCGCGAATAGCTCAACACTCTGAAACTAAAGCATCTTTCCCTCTTGTCCTCCCCAGGTGTAACACCACAACTGAGCTGTAGCTCATCTTCTCTACAGGAGGTTTTACTCCGGTGAATGCTGCTCAAACCCAGGGGGAAGGTTTCCCTTCTTGTGACTGCTGCTGTGAGACTAAGACATTGAAAGTGATATTCAGAATGAGCTGGTTCTCAACTGAAGTAAGCACAGTGACTGCAGATAAAGGATGTTGGACCACACTGGCCCGCGCTCTCACAAGTTATGTTTCCCAGGAACGTGCATAATATGGACTTGTTGCACTGCCTGTGAGGACAGTTTTTACCTCATTGCACTATGGAGGGTTGCTTTTTAGTATGTATTTAAACATACAAATTTGAGTTAATTACTGTGTATAATGAGTATGCACTGACTGCAGTGTATATTTGTAAATCCTTTGAGCCAGTCTTCTGAATTGGTTTAGAGAGGGGGAAACACTACCTTCAAATTTGTTAAAATACTGTTGCTTTTTTTCAAAGATGTATTCTTTTAATTTAATTACATTATGTGTTCCATTTGTTTGTGAGTACACTTTGATATAATTTAAGTTAATTTTGTTTGTTTTGCAAATATGTATAATGTATATAAGGCACTTCAGGTCAATGTGATGTTGTTTTCCAACATAAATGTATTTAAGAAGCATTGTACAGAACCTATTGGAATTGTTTTATCACTGTTGCCCATGAAGGAAATCAACTAAATATTTTTCCAAAATAAATAATGTATGAAATAATTAACATAACGTAGAAGTGTCTTTGTGATATCCACATACACCATAACATGTCACCCAAAACATCCAACATTGAATACTAGAGTTACTTCTCTTGCATTTTCTCTTTGACATACAGTACATGCACACAATGTTTGACCTCAAGTTCTCTAAGTAGTCTCACTGCAAACTGTGTTCTTGTCCTGATGCAACAGGCTGTCTCCCTGTGGTACCTCACTAAGTGAGACAAAGACACACCCGGTAATCACAAATTACTACCCTCATCTTGATGGCAATTTATTTTTAGGAAGAAAGAACCCTCTGACAAAAAAGAAACCACCCCTGGTAAATGTGCTGGTCAGAGTTTTCCAACTTTCTTTAAACCTTAGTCAATGTCATTTAGTAAGGCTGGGTGGTAGTGTACAAGCAACTTGCATTTGGTCCATACTCAAGGAGAAACCAAACCAGCATGACAAATGGTTACAAATATAGACTTTTGGAAAAAAAGGTGCCATCTAGAACCTAAAAGGATTATTCGGCTGTACCCATAGGAGAACCCTTGGAATAACCCTTTTTGGTTCCAGGTAGAACCCTTTTGGTTCCAGGTAAAACCCTTTTGGGTTCCAGGTAGAACCCTTTCCACAGAGGGTTCTACATGGAACTCAAAAGGGTTCTACCGGAACCTAAAAGGGTTATCCTATGGGGACAGTCGAAGAACCCTTTCGGAACCCTTTTTTCTAAGAGTGTATATGAAAGCAGAAAGAAAACACATAATTACTATATGCACAGTATGTAAGTCTTTCTTTCTTCATTCATAATCAGTCTTTGAAGCATTGAGTGAGCAGTGGACAGCTGAAAACTAGACTGAATAACACATTGACTTGCAGCTGTCCAGATGGTGACTAGAGAGACACCCCATTCCAGAGTTGGGGAGCATGAGGCAGATACAGTATACTGGACCAGTGTATAAGCACAAGAGAGCCAATCAATAATATTGACTATAGAATGCTGATCCAGAGTTGTCATTATGTTTATGTTCGCTCCGTTTTCTATTTGATAAATAGCATCCATCTGTAAACATGCTACAGTAAGATACCTAAGAAATGTATCAGTTAACTGACACATTGTTTCACTCTAAAGTGAAAAATTAGCTCCTCTAGTTCGCCATCTGAACAAAGATCTGACTGCAGCAGTGGCATATAGATTTAATATTCTGACCAGAATGGGTAGTTGAATGTGTACCATCAGCTTACTCACTGAAATGATAAACAAGCTCTTGAATCAAACAGCTGTGAGAGTGCTGGCATTTTTTACTAGCAACTTCAATCAGGGACGAGGAAAGTCAGTCAACCTCATGTTCTGACCATTTTAATGATGTGGCACAGCAAATGTTCATCAACCAGACCTGCTTTATAAACCTGCTATTTTTATCACAATATTTTCCCAGGTTATTGGTAATGTATAACAAGCAATCTTTTTGAGAACTCACTTTGTAGTTTATTTGGACTCTTTCTTTATTCCGAAAGCGATGTTGCTGTCTTGAATAAGGTTAAAATGAGGGAAGGGCAATAGCAGCATTGACCCTCTTTGGCATTACCTTTCTAACAACAATAATGAAAGTGTAAATATTATACTCTCCCCTGGAATATGCTTTCAAATACAAAGCAGAGTGTCTCTAAATAAATATATATTTTGTGCTTTATAAATGTAATAGAAAGTCTCCTTAGCCTTGGTTAAAACAATACAGACCACTTCCATGTGCCCTTTTTGATTGCAAATGAAATAATCTCAACTTTGTTTTATAGCCAGTCAGAGAGGAGCGGTGAGAGAGTTTGCCCTGTGAATGCAGGGAGAATATAGTAGCTCCGATAGGGACCAGTGAAAAGTATTTGCTAGTATTACACAACTGTTGGACAGTTGTTTTCACATACCATGCTAAGCTTTTAACTTAACTTTTTTCAGTCACACAATGGCTTTTCGCTGAGTTGGAAAATATCAGGAGGCAGCCCTAAAGCAGCCCTTTTGTCTCTTCATTCAGTGTAGTCCTGGTCCACGGCTCTGCGTCCAATGGGGAATATCTTATTTTTAATATTTTTATTTTCTTCAGTTTTGTGTCTATAATCAATCATAATGACAATCAAAGGTCACCGATTAATGCCAATATGCCAGAATGTTTTGAATGCAGAACTTTGAAGCTCTTTGATCGGCATGAAATAAAGGATTGTTAAAAAGGAAAGAAGGATTTTGAAAGTTTGATTTACTTTAAGTTATGTTTGGACTTACACTTAACAAAGATTAATTATCTTACTAAATGTTTACTTTTGTTTCCTACGTTTTAAACTTTGTCTACATCTGGCTTATTCTAACAGCCTGTATAAACATATAAACACTATAAATCCGTGTGGAATGCATTACATACAGTACCAGTCAAAAGTTTGGACACATCTACTCAATCAAGGGTTTTTCTTTATTTGTACTATTTTCTACATTGTAGAATAATAGTGAAGACATCAAAACTATGAAATAACACATATGGAATCATGTAGTAACCAAAAAAGTGTTAAATAAATCAAAATCTATTTTATATTTGAGATTCTTCAAAGTAGCCACCCTTTGCCTTGATGACAGCTTTGCACACTCTTGGCATTCTCTCAACCAGCTTCACATGGAATGCTTTTCTAACAGTCTTGAAGGAGTTCCCACATATGCTGAGCACTTGTTGGCTGCTTTTCCTTCACTCTGCGGTCCAACTCATCCCAAACCATCTCAATTGGGTTGAGGTCGAGTGATTGTGGAGGCCAGGTCATCTGATGCAGCACTCCATCACTCTCCTTTTTGGTCAAATAGGCCTTACACAGCCTGGAGGTGTGTTGGGTCATTGTCCTGTTGAAAAACAAACGATAGTCCCACTAAGCGCAAACCAGATGGGATGGCGTATCACTGCAGAATGCTGTGGTAGCCATGCTGGTTAAGTGTGCCTTGAATTCTAAATAAATCACAGACAGTGTCACCAGCAAAGCACCCCCACACCATCACACCTCCTCCTCCATGCTTCATGGTGGGAACCACACATGCGGAGCTCATCCGTTCACCTACTCTGCGTCTCACAAAGACACAGCGGTTGGAACCAAAATCTCAAATTTGGACTCATCAGACCAAAGGAAAGATTTCCACCGCTCTAATGTCCATTGCTCATGTTTCTTGGCCCAAGCAAGTCTCTTCTTATTATTGGTGTCCTTTAGTAGTGGTTTCTTTGCAGCAATTCGACCATGAAGGCCTGATTCACACAGTCTCCTCTGAACAGTTGATGTTGAGATGTGTCTGTTACTTGAACTCTGTGAAGCATTTATTTGGGCTGCAATAATGGAGGTTGGTAACTCTAATGAACTTATCCCCTGCAGCAGAGGTAACTCTGGGTCTTCCTTTCCTGTGGCGGTCCTCATGAAAGCCAGTTTCATCATAGCGCTTGATGGTTTTTGCGACTGCACTTAAAGAAACTTTCAAAGTTCTTGAAATATTCCGGATTGACTGACCTTCATGTCTTAAAGTAATGATGGACTGTCGTTTCTCTTTGCTTATTTGAGCTGTTCTTGCCATAATATGGACTTGGTCTTTTACCAAATAGGGCTATCTTCTGTATATCACCCCTACCTTGTCACCGCACTACTGATTGGCTCAAACGCATTAGGAAGGAAATACATTCCACAAATTAACTTTTAACAAGGCATACCTGTTAATTGAAATGGATTCCAGGTGACTACCTCATGAAGCTGGTTGAGAGAATGCCAAGAGTGTGCAAAGCTGTCATCAAGGCAATTGAAGAATCTCAAATATAAAATATATTTTGATTTGTTTAACACTTTTTTGGTTACTACATGATTCCATATGTGTTATTTCATAGTTTTGATGTCTTCACTATTATTCTACAATGTAGAAAATAGTACAAATAAAGAAAAACCCTGGAAGGAGTAGGTGTGTCCAAACTTTTGACTGGTACTGTACATAAAATATATTACATTATAATAATAATCATAATGGTTATTTTAACAAACTACACCTATACATGCTTATAAATACATTTGTAATTCAATACACACAATGTAATGGGTGTAATGCACACAAGTGTGTACTTCTTGCGTACTTGTTCATGTTTAGGCAGGATTCTACC